CTATTCATTAAAATTCACAAAAGAAAATTGGTTTATATTATGAGTCTGTAAGTTTGAGTTACCTTGCAGGAAGCCAGTCCACTTTGGAATTTGTAAATCAGAGAGATGTTAATAATTTGAATATGATCCAGTGATGAGAAAAATTAACCTTTAACCAAATAAATTAAAAGTTTTATTATGATAACTAAATTCCTAATGTAATAGTATTTAATAAAATAAGCAATTATTTGACAAAATGACTAACCAAGGTAATTTTAAAATGACTATTCATGGGGACTAACAGCTCTATGTTATATTTAAATGTGAAAAAATATTATATAACTATTAAATTGTGTAGTATTGTCCAAGTTAGAGACAGCTAGAAAATTGAAACCTCAATAGATAACAACAGCCACCAATTGGAAATAAAATTTTGAAAGATTCCTCTTGCAACATAATTTTAAAACATCAAATCCAAGGAATAAATCTAGCAAGGAGATGCATAATAACTCTACACAGAAGATTGTTTAATATTATTAAGGCAAATTATAGAAGGTATAAATCAATGCGGGGGTTGGGATATGTTGGCCATGGATTGGAACACTCACCGTTCTAAAGATGTTTATGTAATCTCAAACAAATTCTTAGCAAATTTTGTGTTTGTGTGCATGTAGGTGTATGTGCAAATTTAAAAGCTGATTCTAGAGTGTATGTGGGAAATCAAAGAAGGACAAACATTCAGGACAATTTTGAAGTATAACTAAGCTTGAGAAATTCCAGTATCATTTCTCAAAAATTATAACAAGGTTCAATACATAAAATGACTTGTTACTGGTGCAAGGACAGAGAAACAGACCAGTGGAGCTGTATAGAAAGTCCAGAATTGGATCCATATGTATACATTCACTTGATTTGTGATAAGAGTGCCTCTGCCGTGCAGCAGAAAAGAAGTGGCCTTTCTAAATAACATTAAGAAAAAAAAAAAGAATCCTTACCTCTAACTATCACCACAAACATCTAATTTTTGAAATATAGATAATTGTAAATGTGAAAGTTAAAACAATAAAAAATGCTAACAGAAAATATCAAAAATATTTTAATAAATATGAGTAAGGCAAAGTTTTCTTAAGCAGGAAAATAAATACCATCGTAAGAAAAAATAAAACAACTGATGAATAAATATACCATTAAGTCAATTAAAAGGTAAACCACAGACTAATAAAAGATATTTGTAATGCCTATATGTAAGAAGATAAATCAACAAACCAATAAATCAATAAAGACAATTTAACAAATAATAAAAATATAATGATAAATATAACATTACAATAAATAAAAATTAATAAAGAAAAAGAATATAATCCAACAACAATGGGCAAAGACCTAAACAGTCACTTCACAAAAGAGGATAATCAAATGTATAATAATCATTAAAAGGTGCTTAATTTCAGTCATCAGAAAATATAAACTAAAACAGCACTGAAATACCACTCCACACTCACCTGAATGGCTAAAATGCAAATACTATCGATACTTTAGGTTTGACTAGGAAGGTGTAATAACCAAAATTTTACTGTCAGTGGGAGTAGAATTTTGTACAACAATGTAGAAAAGTATTTTAGTACTATCTACTACAGAGTTAAATACATTCTACTCCTAGGTATATAAGGTCTATCCAAAAAGTATCCAGCCACTGCTAATATTAATATAACGAGAATGGTTTGCTCAACATGGATGTAACCTGACAGCCAAGGAGAATGGATTGTAACGCACATGGGTAAACAATGACAACTTCACTGTATCAGTCAGTAGGGGGCTAGACACCGTTGAGTGAGCATGTGTACTGTGTGGCCATTACATTCAAAATGATTGAGCAAGTAGAGCAATGAACCTGCATCAAATAATATGTGAACGTTCCTCTGCGGAAACTTTGGATGATTCAGGCTTTCGGGGACAATGCAATGAGTGCAGGGCAAATAAAAGTGTAGCATAATGCTTCAAAGATGGTCAAGAATCTGTTGAAAGTGATCCATAATCTGGAAGGCCTGCAACAAGCAGAACACCTGAGAATGTTGAATGAGTACGGGTTAGGTTAAGAGATGCTGGGAGAACTGTGGGAGGTCCCAAGGTGCCTACTTTGAAGGGGAGTGAGGCTTCATTGTTCTATATACAATGTTTCTTGTATCTTCTTCAATAAATGTCTCTATTATTCATATCACATGGCTGGATTCTTTCCAGATAGACCTCATATATCCACTGGTAATACATACCACTGGCATCAAAAGTCACTTGCAAGA